AAAAAAATATAAAAAATGCCACATAAGCGGAGTTAACGGTCCAAATTAACAGAAGGACTAACGGAGTGCATTTCGTATAGTTGAGGGATCAAAAAAAGTGCAAAAAATTCTCAAGGGACCAAAAATGTGCAAACCACTAAAGTTGAGGGACCAAATTTAGCATTTAACCTTAAAAAATTGCTCACGTAACACCAAGTCACCAATAGACTTGACAATGGACCACAATTATTAAAAATAAATAACTAATTAAGAACAAAAATAATGAAATAGACGTTAGAATAGTGTTGTCCTGCTAATTTTTTTTAAGAATATTTATATAAAAATTTATTTTATAATCAATATTTAAAAAATTAAATGTAGCATTAAATATATATTTTATTTATGTATATGTTACATGTTAATTTTTAAATTAATTTAATATTTATAATTATTTGATTGAATAAACGTTATTTATAAGTACATAGTTAACAGTCTTATGAATTAATTAGGCTTATTAAATAATTTCAAAAGTGACATACTTGATTTAAAATTTTCAATTCAATAATTAATTTTTAAAAATATTAATTAAAATATAATTTTTTTAGAGACATCCTCCGTAAAAACATTATGCAAAACATGAGAGAGAGAGAGAGAAATTACTTATAAGTTTATTATCTAAAAAACAAAAAGAGATTTGACCTTTAGTTGAAAGTTAAGCTATAGAAAATATGCCCATCAAATTTGAATCATGGAGAATGAGTTTTATTTTCCTTTTTTTTTTTAATTAATTAGCATAGTTTTAATGAGGTTAATAATGAGATTAATGATTATGATTAGAGATTCTAACATTTTTAATATTAATCGATCTTGATTTTCTCTTTTTCGTAGATAAAAAATATTTAACAAATACTTGAAATGTATTCTACTTCTTAATCATTCCATTTATGACTTGAAATGATGTAATACCTTTTAGAAGCCACATCAGCATAGAGTTAATAGTTGTTGACGACCACTTAAGATTCCAAAATAATGAAAATTAAGTGTAAAAATATAAAAAAAGTGAGTCGCCACTCGTCCAATTATAATATGGGACAAGTCATCTAAAAACAAGTCTGCACAAAAATCGAGATTTGGGGGTTTAGTTAGAAGTGAGGAAAGGCATACGCGTACCTCACAATCTTCCGTTTAAACATGATTGCATACTTTAACATTGGGGTTTTGATTCAACTTATTCATTATTTATTTACTTAAGTCTTAATAAGTAAGCTTGAAAAATAGATGGACCAAATTGTAACATCTTTTAAACTTTTGGACTAAAATAGATAAAATCAAGACATGCATGCACCATGAACATAAATATAAATTAAAAGGACTAATTTGATAAAATTCGAAAGATGGAGCACTGATTTGATTAAATTCAAAACATGAAGGATTGATTTGAAAAGAGTTGAGACCTGGGACTAAATTGCTTGATTATAAAATTTTTGGGTGAAATTAAAATAAAAAAGAAGAAGATAACTTTGACTTTGATCAAATTAAAAGAAACTAAATTATTTAAGTAAATTAACTATGCTCATTAATCTAATTAAATGATTAATTTAATATTAATTAAAATTAATTAAAATTAAGTAATCATATTTATTACCCTTTAATTAAGATCATTAAATAAATCTAATAATTTCAAATTAAAGTCAAATAAATATGATTAATTTATTTTAATTAAGATTAATTAATTTTATTAATCATAAATTAAACTAATTAACTTAATTAATTACTAATCATACTTAATATGTATATATTTTTTTTGTTTTAACTTTTTTTTTTTGTTTTTTTTTGTTTTTTTACTGGATCGGGTTGGATCGACCTGCTCCAAAACACAACTCAAAAACACAATCCTTCAAACAGATAAACATAAAACAGATCAAATCTTGAACAAAAACCAAAATCCAAACGACATAAAGAAAAATTTAGAGATCATCATTTTACTTCTCATTTTCAGCAAGAAACACATTCATCCGGTAAAATAAATAGAACAATCTTTGATTCCCATTCATTTTCCAACAACTAAATACAAGCTTAAACACAGATCTAAACAAAATCAACAGAAAATAACAGAAACACCCACGACGGAATTTTTAGGAGGAGTTAGATCCAGATCGGAAGGGAAGGATCCCACCCACGGGACCAGGCTCCGTTTGTCTCCTTCACTACCCTTCCCCAAAATCCCTCTGTTTCAGAGAATACCTTCAGCAATGAAACCAATAAAATGAAGCTCCTCTGGAAGCTCGGTGATCTTTCCTCTCAGCCGCCGTTGTTACCCCCTTTCTTCTCCACTAAATCCCCTTCTACTACTCTCAAAAACTCAGACGAGACTCCCCAACAAATAGACCCAAAATCAACCAAAACCCCCCCAGACCTCCAAAATCAACCCAAAGACTCCCCCCAGACCTCTGCTTTTTTGCCCTATATATATACCCAAATAACAAAATACAAAAAATGAAATAAATAAAGAAAAGTCTTGCTCCATCAATCACTAATGATGCCAATTTTGTCTGGTATTGCTGTTTTTTCTATATGGCTGTAGCAAGCAGGAGTGCAGAGGCATGGACTGGGGCGCAGAGTGCAGGAGGAGCAGGCTTGGTGCAGCAGCAGGGGCGTAGGCGTGGCAAGGGGTAAGGCAGAGCAAGGTCACGCGTGCGAAGGGGGCGTAGGGGTGTATGATTGTCGATGATGGCTTGGGCGTGCAGGGGTATGATTGCAGGATCAGGTGCGCAGAGGGGAGAGTGCAGAGCAAGGCCGGGCGCAAGAGCCAGGGGTGCAGAGGAGGGTGCAGGCGCGCAGGGGGTAGGGGTAAGGAACGCAGCAGCAAGGTCAGTGCAGGGAAGCAGGGGGCGTAAAGGTGCGGGGCTCGGTTGCAAAAGGGAGAGAGGAAGGAAGCTGAAGGGACGATTCCAGACCCTCTTTTCTTTTTTCATTTTTCTTTTTATATATATATATATATATCTCTTTTTTTCGGTTTTTGGTAATTGGGTTTTTGGGTATTGGGTTTGGATAATTTAGTGGGCTCAATTGAAATGGGTTGGTGTTGGGCTTGCAAATTAATCTTGATGAATTTCTTCCTTTCAACTTTTGATTTCTTCAATTGAGTCCTTTTTCTCATTTTCTTTTCCATCCTCTTCGTGAAATCCCCTTTTTACCCATAAACCCAACAATAAGAGCAAAGATGAAACATATCAGTTAAATAAAAAATAAAATTCTATTAAAAATTTGAGTTATGACAATAGTTAACACTGTTATTGCCACACGTCATAATTTTCGTTAAGTGCAGTTGACGAAGGGACGCTGGTTGGCCTCTTGTACAAAGTTTAGGGATTTTAATGACTTCTTTTGAAGTATAGGGATGACATCAAACCACTTTGACAAGTTAAAGGATTTTTATTGGCTTTAAA